GTTTTGCAGACTCTATTCAACTAAAAAGAGAAGAAGACACCCTTGAAAATGTTTAATTCTTCATTTGCCTAACAAGTAAACTTGTCACAAAATCAAATTTGATGTAATGCATAACCCAGACTATAACAATCACCATCATTAACTTAGAAATATGTTTTGACTAACTTTAGGTCCAATCCATGCCTACCAGGTCATTCACAGTTTGCTCATGCACTGTTCAGAATCCATTCATTAATTGTGTCCGATGTACTTATTTACAAGTTTTGGTCTAGTGTATTGCACACAATTGATATTTGACTGAATTGTAAATGGCTTGGTAGCACAAATCAAGCTCTAATGGCAAGAGTCAGTAGTGAGACATTTGACCATCTGCAGGGCAAAGATAACAAAACACCTCTCAGACAATAGACAAAAAGTATACCTACCCAACTATAACCATAAATGTACTATATGGTCTATAAATTTAATTTCTATTTAATTTCAATTAAATGTATATATTAGTAATGCATCAGTGCTAATCTACCACAGCATGATACCAAAAATACATTGCACACAACCTCTGTAAGCCAGTAATATTTCTTACAATAATAAAAACCATGTCCCTTGAAAAACAAATAACTGCATTTTCATTGTGTTTGCTTCGTGTATTTTCCTGTAAAATACTCCTAGTGGAAGTTTTTGAACTAAATTTTGTTTAAAAATCTTTTCTCAATCCTTAACATCTGTATACAAATTTTGCTTATTGGTTTCAGAGTCCAATGCTTATTAAGTGCTCAATGAACATATGTTAAAAAGAATTTATGGCTTTGAAGTTGTGCGCCATGTATTTTTGATATTGTGCTGTCCTAGATGAGCACATAAATTTATACACACTGATACATAAATTTAATTAATATTAAATAGAAATTCTACCTGTATATCATTATTTCTATTAATATTGTCCTTTATGAAAAATAAATAAAACTAATATACAATAAAATCAAATATTTATCATTCAAAAACCCTAACAGAAATATGATAAATTACATTTTACATCCATTTTTCTCTTTTACACCCAAATCACTTTTATAACAGATATCCTTGTTAAAAGTAGAAGCTTCTACCATTGCACATTCGTACGACTTAAAGTAGCTGAAATGCACATTGTCACGCATGGACTGATTTTTCAATATTCAAATTTAAGTATATTACAGTATAATTAGAAGTTATATAGTTGTAAGTGTTTGTTATTTTTCCTGTAAAAACAAGGCAGTAGCTTAATATGTTGATTCTTCCAAAAATAAAACATGCTATTTTCTAAAATTAGGACTATTTACATATTACATCATCAATTTATGGCAGAGGGCAAGTGTTTGATAAGATGTAAGATTGCATCCATCATTTATTTTTCTTCCCAGTCATTACAAAATTGTCTGAAAATAATTCTTGTGCGTAAGTAAAATCTACAAACCTTACTATGCTTTTGCATGTGGTTTGAAAACTGTTACATTACTGATGTTTTTCAGTCCCCTTCTAGGATCTTCCTCAGGTAGAATCTTTCAAAATCAACTCTTTCCAGTGCTAGTAGTGTTCTAAATGTATTAAAACAAGCAAATGAAAGAAAAAAAACTATTGAAGAGAGTATACATAGGAAAGGTAGATGGGAAGCAGAGTAGGGGTAAGCTGAGAAAATCTTACAACAAGTGGATGAGTATCTGAAAGAATGAGTCAGATAGAATGTGAGGATGTGTGCTGGAAGAGGCGTGAGTATGTCTGAAGCAAAAGTGGTGTGTCTGGACAGGAATATGTGGGGAAAGTTGCTGAATTGATAGTTTATAAGATTGTAGTCTCCTTCTGGCTGCTGCTCACCCTTTCTGGATTATGAGTATGAAGACATGTATGTATGTCTACACTAAAACAGAAGTAAATCGAAAAAGATAGATATGATCCATTGCTATTTTTGTTACCATCTCTAAAATCAAATGCTAAGTGCTGTATTGATAATATTATCATAATGCTGTCATCACTTTAGTCAGTAACATTAATGGAAACCAATAATACTATAACTCTGATATTTAAAAAAGCATAAAAATTTGCTTACTTTGGATGTTCACTTTATTTCTGTTAAATGTTTTCTTGGGAATGAAGAAATTAATCTTCTTGATAAGCTAAATAATAAATAAACAATACAAAGCAATATATTTAGAACTGTTAATAAATTTACAAATAATTTAGTAAAAATTACTAATAAATCAAATATAAAAAATATTTCAATTTATCCATTGCGAATTTGATCAAGCACACAGTAAGNTGTTGGGAATGAAGAAATTAATCTTCTTGATAAGCTAAATAATAAATAAACAATACAAAGCAATATATTTAAAATTGTTAATAGATTTACAAATGATTTAGTAAAAAATACTAATAAATCAAATATAAAAAAATATTTCAATTTATCCATTGAGAGCTTGATTAAGCGCACAATAAGCCGAGAATAAAAATTCATTTAGCATGTTTCTTCCAGACTTATTGTGAGCAAGAATGGCAGAATGGGACAAAACTACTGCAATGCAGAAACTGAAACACACAGGTTTATTAGGAGGAAAAGCAAATACTTTGAGAGATAAATTTATTTTTAATTTTTCTGAAACCATGTTGTCTTAATTTCTTTGATTCACTAACATAAGATGTGTTTCTATTTCAACACTTGGAGGTATTCCATCTTTATTTAGTTGATCAACTAAATAAAGATAAAATATTGCCAGGTGTTGAAATAGAAACACATCTTATGTTACTGTTTCAAAGATATATTTATGATAATAATACATAAAAGAACTGCAAAAGTTTTACTAATCTTAAGAAGTATGTAGGTGTATGAATGTTTCCCAATTTGATATGTCATCTCTTAATGTAGCACTTACAATTGAACTTATAGTCCATTGCACCTGATTATGATCCATTAAGAATGGAGTGGTGACATTAGAGATACTACTCAAACTGGCCACCCCCCAAGCATTGATGTTCAGAGAGTCACAGTAACTGTGTATATCAAGTGTGTCTATATTATCTTTGATAACTGAAACAGCATTTGTCATCAGAACAATAAGCAGATCACGAGATGAACTGAATCTTCTTAGGTACACCTCATGCTTCATCCAATCACATGTACAACTCAACATACTCTACAGAGTAGGATCTGGATCTCAGTACAACTATTGACATTTGTGCATTTTTCCCAGAACCATTAATTTCCAGACAAGGATGCTCTTGATCATTTTACTCTTCTTATAGTAAATTGTCTCCCAAAATATTTACTTTCCTCCTGATACACCTTGAATGTATAAATGCGGTTTTTACAATTCCCATTTAATACAAAATAGATCTAAATTTTGGAAATAATTTTATAAAACTGATTATATTTGCATACTTTTTCAATAACTGAACAATCTAATATAAAAATATTTCTTATAGTGTAAAACAGTGTTTTTCAACCTTCTTCAATATGCGACCGCTTTAAAGTTAAAAAATTTTGGCAACCCCAGTGCCATATTAAAATTATATCAGTGACTTTAAAAACTATGTATTTAATTTTCTTTCTGTTGAGACCTAAATACTGATCAAAAAACCAATTGTACTGTAAAATAAACAGGCCCAGCCTTCTCAACGGAATTTTATGTTGTTTTATTGTAGTGTAGTGTAGGACCTACACTACACTACACTACTTGTCTTTTTTTTTTACCCGCGACCCCCGTGTAAGGCTTTGCAACCCCTCTGGGGGTCGCAACCCACAGGTTGAAAAACACTGGTATAAGATATTTCAAAATTTATATTACTTACATTTAAGTGTTTGTATTCATCTGGAAGGAAAATAACTTCTTTACCATCTTCAATCTCTACTTTAATATTCAATCTCTTCAAAACAACTCGACATTCTGATTTAATAAGATATTTAGCATCAAAATTCCTCTCTGTTTCTTCTTTCTTACAATCTATTTTGAAATTTAAGAAATTTGTGTACTTAAGTAAGTTGTAAACAAACAATTAAAAGAATTACATAAAATTTATTTTTATAATTTGGCAGAAAATTCATTAACATAAAATTATATGCTTTTATTATATACTTGATTTGTGGTTACAAACCAAAACACAGCAATCTGCCACTGCATAATCACAATACACAGCCAGCTGGATGGTCAAGGCAGTTAAGCATTAGTCTGTTTTTCTCTGAGGACCTAGGATTGTATCTGGATCATAAAAACACCCCAGGATTTTGGTCTGTCCTGAATATATTGAACCTGGCAGAACTTGCGGTGGGTTTGAAATAAACACCCTCTTAATGCCAAGAGATGAAAGTGCAAAAAATCATGATCTATGATAGAAAACAGAAGACCATAACATTTAAAGGAAAATCACAGTTTAGTTTAAAGATTGGAATTGTTTTAATAGAAAATAACATGAGAAGTAAGAGTAAGATAATTTGAAGCAGTTGACTCTTGTAAATGTTAAACAGCAATGATCATAAAAACAAAAGTACAGAAATATCCATAAATAGTGAAAAACAGCAAGATGGCTGAGCAGTCAAGGTGGCAGCCTACCATCAAATGTGGATGGGTTGAAAACGCTCCAGGAATTTNTTTCCCAATATGATATGCCATCTCTTAATGTAGCACTTAAAATTGAACTCCATCGCACAGTCCATCAAACCTGATTATGATCCATTAAGAATGGAGCTAGCAACCCCTCAGCATTGATGTTGAGAGAGTCATAGTAACTGTGTACTTCAAATGTGTCTATATCATCTTTGATAATTGCAACAGCATTTGTCATCAGAACAATAAGCAGATCATGAGATGAACTGAATCTTCTTAGATACACCTCACGCTTCATACAGTCACATATACAACTCAACATACTCTACAGAGTATGATTCAGATCTCAGTACAACTGTTGACATTTGTGCATTTTTCTGAGAACCATTCATTTCCAGAAAAAAGACATTTTTGGCATTTTACTCCGCTTATAGGAAATTGTATTCCAAAATATTTACTTTCCTCCTGATACACCTTGAATGTATAAATGCAGTTTTTACAATTCCTGTTTAATACAAAATAGATCTAAATTTTGGAAATAATTTTATAAAACTGATTATATTTACATACTTTTTCAATAACTGAACAAACTAATACGAAAATATTTCTTATAGTGTAAAATATTTCAAAATTTATATNTATTTGCATTAATTGTAACTAATTTAAATACGAATGTCAATAAATGAAATTATTGGACTTTATTAATGAAAGAATAGCTTAAGAGAAATAATTTTACTGAATTTTTACTTTCTTGTGCTGAAATTTGTTTACAAGTTCTAAAAGCGTATCATCATAGTAGTAGTATTTTCAATGGAAACTATATAAAAGTCATATATAAACCTTCTGCCAGTTGCACCTTCTGGACCCAATTAGCAAAGTTATAGCCTGATTATTTAAGGTAATCACTTGGTTATGTTTCTGTATACATATCAGGCTTTGCAATGTTTGATGTACTTGAATAAGTTGTTATAACTTCTTCAGAGTGATATATATTTATAAAAATTCAACTAAGAAATGATCAACAAAATTACTTATATACTACAGACAACAGTTCTAAACAAAATAGAAATGCTTACAATTTCAAATATCATGCAATCTATGAATTTATAAAAATTACATTTAAATATACATTACCGTTTCCTTCTAATTTCTGATATCATACGAGGAGATCCAGAACAGAGATACATTTTTACCTTAAACCTCTTATCGGGAAAAGACAAAAACTAACATCTTGAATTATGTAATACATAGTATTAATAAACTTTATCACAACACTGTGAAATACAAAATTATACACCTACAAACCTTTTACAGCGCGACATTAAATAAAAATAACAATAAAAAGCTCTCACAAACGTTTTCGAACCAACTTAAGGTTCTTCATCAGGTGAAAAACGGAAATCGTCATATATAAGCGTGGCAGATGCTTATATATGACAAACAAAATCTAAATAAAAATAAAACTTTTTGCTTCCAAGGAATGTGCATGCCCGTTGATGACGACAGCCGCACCATAAAAGGTTTGTAGGAGTATAACATAGTTTATATAATTATTATGAATTAATGTATTACAAACTGTATTCTAGTAAGATTTGNCGGGCCAATTCTTTTCTTTCAGAATTTTCTAAATTTAAAATAATCCTGATAAAATCAGGTAATTGTTGGTTGTTTGGCTTATTACATATATAAAAATCAGGTAGGTTACCAAAAAATTTCTGGGTGTGAGTTATCTGCATTGCTAATAGCTTCAATAGAATTATCATATTCTAGGTAGACTACTCTAAAAAAACAATAGCCCAAGCTTACTAGCAACACATTATTGTACAAGAAGCTGTCATACAATACCAGTATACCAGCTTATAATACGTCATATAAAAACTAGTAATGCATGTTGCAATGTTTGGAAAAAAGTTAAATTTTATATTTTACTCTTTATCTCATGGCTGTTCACATGGTGTAGTACTTGTCTGCTGCATCTGTTTTGTGTTTCATCCAGTTGTCAATTGCTTGTGATGTGTACTTATGCTGTTTACTTTAAATCTTTAAATTTAGTCTAATGGCAGCAAGCAGAGAACAGGGGGCAGAANCCTCTTAACGCCAAGAGATGAAAGTGCAAAAAATCATGATCTATGATAGAAAACAGAAGACCATAACATTTAAAGGAAAATCACAGTTTAGTTTAAAGATTGGAATTGTTTTAATAGAAAATAACATGAGAAGTAAGAGTAAGATAATATTGAAGCAGTTGACTCTTGTAAATGTTAAACAGCAATGATCACAAAAACAAAAGTACAGAAATATCCATAAATAGTGAAAAACAGCAAGATTGCTGAGCAATCAAGGTGGCAGCCTACCATCAAATGTGGATGGGTTGAAAACGCTCCAGGAATTTTTAGGTGGTGGTCCATCTAGATATGTTGATTCCCATCTTTCACCACCTGGCCGCCCCATTGGGGGCTAACTATAAGAAGCCCTCTTAGTAAGAGGTAGAATTATAAAAAATATAACTAAACAAACAGTGAAAACAATTTACTGTACATCCATCAATACATATTTACAGAAGTATATTAGTTGATAGAAATAATTATAATAAATAATTTTATTTCAAACCCATTATTTTTCAATGGAAATTTCATCAATAAATTATTTATAGAAATCATTCCGATTCATACTTGCATTAATTGTAACTAATTTAAATACGAATGTCAATAAATGAAATTATTAGACTTTATTAATGAAAGAATAGCTTAAGAGAAATAATTTTACTGAATTTTTACTTTTTGTGCTGAAATTTGTTTACAAGTCTAAAAGCATATAATCATAGTAGTAGTATTTTCAATGAAAACTATATAAAAGTCATATATAAACCAATATCTACATGTCCAATCTACAGTACAGTACATATATAATAAGCAAACAATTACCAGATTATATGAAGCTATTGTATTGCATTATTTTAAATCAATTACTAAATACTTTGTCACTAGAGGGAGGAATTAGGTATCATCTTTTATTAGATTTAATAATTATAATTAAATTAAATAATTCAGAAAATTCTGCAAAAGGAAATAAATCAGCAGAGTGTGACTTGAACCTGCAACCTCTGCTTACCATGTGGATGCATTGCTAGTTACACTAAAAGCCTCCAGTCTGTTCTCCCCTTCCAGATATATTTAAATGATGGTTATCTCATGTTTAAATATATCTGGAATAAAATATCGGACTGGAGGCTTGGGTAGTGTAACTAGCAATGTATCCACACAGTAAGCACCACTTGCAAGTTCGAGTCCCTCTCCGGGCCAATTCTTTTCTTTCAGAATTTTCTAAATTTAAAATAATCCTGATAAAATCAGGTAATTGTTGGTTGTTTGGCTTATTACATATATAAAAATCAGGTAGGTTACCAAAAAATTTCTGGGTGTGAGTTATCTGCATTGCTAATAGCTTCAATAGAATTATCATATTCTAGGTAGACTACTCTAAAAAAACAATAGCCCAAGCTTACTAGCAACACATTATTGTACAAGAAGCTGTCATACAATACCAGTATACCAGCTTATAATACGTCATATAAAAACTAGTAATGCATGTTGCAATGTTTGGAAAAAAGTTAAATTTTATATTTTACTCTTTATCTCATGGCTGTTCACATGGTGTAGTACTTGTCTGCTGCATCTGTTTTGTGTTTCATCCAGTTGTCAATTGCTTGTGATGTGTACTTATGCTGTTTACTTTAAATCTTTAAATTTAGTCTAATGGCAGCAAGCAGAGAACAGGGGGCAGAAGAGTGTGTGAAACACCACTCCTCGTTACATACGTGAAAAATATATACTATAATATATATTTATTATTGTATCATGCAAACCGAGCTCCAGTCACCAGACAGAAAGTCAAATTCCTCTTCAACTCTGATATTCTCAATTAAGAAATCACAGAATTTGTGAATCATCAATTAGAAATTTAGAATCATGGCTGCTTTTTTAAAAATATATTTCTGCTTCTAATTAAAATTAAAGTAATTTTGGAAAAATATTTGAAGTATTGTATAAAAGATTAATATTATAGAATTATTCTTGAATAATAAAATTCAATATTACATGGCACAATTGCAGATACATGTAGTCTGTCTATCAGCAATTGATTTAATATATCCTAAATCAGTACTTCCTAAAGTGGCTGCTACTACCCCAGGGAGTTATGAGTAAATCTAAAGGGGTAAAAAGAAGCAATGGGGATAAGACCAAACAGTAACCATAGGCAAGGGTTTGGATCACTGACAATCTTTACCTTTTCCCTGTTAGAATGGGAAATAAGAAACATTTAATGGTTTCTAGATGTTGACAACAATGTACAGTAAGAACACAAAGGGTGAGGTTGGTAGAAAAGCTTTTCTAAGAATAATTCCAAGCCTTTCTCACAGGTGGGAAAATGGGATGAGGTGTTGAATGTAAGTTTATGAAACTAAGAGGACAGTGGCTCAAAAAGGTTTGGCAATCACTGTTTTAAATGATATAATTTTCCCCAAGAATAAGTTGTTAGAAACATAACCAAACAATTGCCTTAAATAATCATGCTATAACTCCACTAATTTAATGAAATATAATTTGGAATCATCTAGAAAAAAAACCTGGCCTGGGGCAGGGCTTGAACCCACAATCTTTGTTTGCCAGTTGCACCTTCTGGACCCAATTAGCAAAGTTATAGCCTGATTATTTAAGGTAATCACTTGGTTATGTTTCTATATACATATAGCGCTTTGCAATGTTTGATGTACTTGAATAAGTTGTTATAACTTCTTCAAAGTGATATATATTTATAAAAATTCAACTAAGAAACAATCAACAAAATTACTTATATACCACAGAGAACAGTTCTAAACGAAATAGAAATGCTTACAATTTCAAATATCATCCAATCTATGAATTTATAAGAATTACATTTAGATATACATTACCGTTTCCTTCTCATTTCTGATATCATACGAGGAGATCCAGAACAGAGATATATTTTTACCTTAAACCTTTTATTGGGAAAAGATAAAAACTAGCATCTTGAATTATGTAATACATAGTATTATATTATTATTATGAATTAATGTATTACAAACTGTATTCTAGTGAGATTTGAGTATATATTTCTATAGATTTTAAAAAACCCAATCAAAAAGTAAGTTTTCCACAACATGAAAATATAATGTTTTTTCTGGACCTCCTCATAAAATATTAACGCTAAAGTTTAAATGATAAATAGCTTCATGAAAAAAGTTATAAAATCATTTTATTAAAAAGTCCAACATTTATTATAGTTTTTACNTGTTTCTTCTGGACCTCCTCATAAAATATTAACGCTAAAGTTTAAATGATAAATAGCTTCATGAAAAAAGTTATAAAATCATTTTATTAAAAAGTCCAACATTTATTATACTTTTTACAAATTTAAACTGGTTATTTCTCAAAAAAACTGATGTTATCAAATTAACATTTCTATTTATATAATCATGGTTGTATATAAATACAGTGGGTGATCGGTTAATGAACAGATCGGATAACGAACACTTTTGCGAAAAATTTTTATCTTCGGACAACGAACACAAGAAGAAGCGACGTAAAATAATGAATACCAATTGGTCTTCTCTTGTCTTCAGGCAACAATTTGAAACTTTTCGGAGTGTGGGAGACGTCGACATCGATGCTCAAGCCGGTATATACAATCGGATAGTATTCCTCCGAACTTTGAAACTCTCCCTTGTAATTCCAGCCTTTTATTTTTCTGACAAAACAATTCTTTTATGTATTCACGAGACTGTCAGGTAGGCACAAGTTAAGTTTTGCATCTGTTTTTTTTTTTTCTTTTCAAAAGGTGAGAGTATAATAGCAAAGGTAGAAAGTGGGCAGAAGATGCCTAATGTTGTGGGGCAGTATGGCGTGAACAGGTCTACAGTAGGCCGTAGTTCAATCTTATTTAAGAAAAATACTGTATAATCAAGAAGACTCAAGCAGCTAAAGGAGTAATAAAAGTTACATCTGAGAAATAATGAACATCGAAGAGTTCATAATGGAACCTGAAACGGATCTGACGACAAAACAACGTCAAAAACTCTTGAATGAAAAACACCAAGATACTCGGCGAGATATGTTTTCTTCTGAAAAAGAGGATTAATGCCAATATTTGCTATTAAAGATCTTTTGAAGAAGTGGGAAGATGTCAGAACAACGGTCTTAGAAAGGCATCCAAACTAGGTTGAGGCTTGGGGATTTCTACAATTGCAATCCTATTAATTACTTATGTAAAATCCTGAAGAAGAGAGAAAAGCTATGGACATTAGATTCTTTAACACTTTCAAACAGAAAAAACATGACTAATAAAAACGCAAGACTGTGCATGTATGTATTTTTATTATTACGTATAAATAAACGTAGTAAGAAAGTATATATTTTTTTATTTTTAGCGGTCTCCAGAACGAATTAATTAAATTCCCATTAAAACCTATGGTAAATCAATAATTGGTTAATGAACAATTCTAATAGCGAACAAAGTCTTGGAACGGATTATGTTCATTAACCGATCACCCACTGTACAACCATGATTATATGTTTAACTATTCTTCTAATCTAATAAATATTATTAATCATCTTACCTTCACTATTACAACCAGAATTATTCCAAATATTAGAACTCTCTGTTACTCCTTGATACTGATTTTCCATAATTATTTAACTGAAATGATAAAAAAAATTGCATTATATTAATAGAAAAGCTGAATTTTATACAAGATTGCTTAAAAAATATTGCTAGTAAAATAAAAATTCTTTTTATTTAATAAATTTGTTAAAAATAATAATGTTTTATCTTAATCGTTCTATTATAGAAATTCATTCACTTTAAGTTTAATAGAATCAAAGCAGATAGAGAGTTTAAATTCCATTAAAAAACACACCTTTGAGCACTTTTCCAGCAACATCTTTCTTTTAAATAAATATTTTTGAGTTCCTTGATAGGCTTGACTTTGTTAGAAATGTCAAGTCACAATATAAACTATCACATACTCCAAAGTTAGAAAATACATGATCACAGAAATTCTGATCGTCACATAATTTTCAAAATTTAAAACCTGCAGATGGCACATCATCACACAAACTAACACTCCAATTTAAAATAACGAAGCTTGGAATCTTTGACAGATTCCAAGCTTGACAGCAACATCTTTGACAGATGTTGCTGGGTAAGTGTTCAAAAGTGTGTCGTGTATGTGATTTATTCACTTAATTGAAAATGTAAAGAATTGTGATACAATATGAATATGAAAATAAGAATTGGTTTATGTGTGATTCAAAACATATGTCGTCACTCCTTAAATTGCTTGCATTGACTTCAGCTTTCAAGTTATTTGTAATTCAAATAATTCCATTCTAACTAGAGTCAACATTTTGATATTTTCTTTTAAGAATAAAATGAAACTGTTTTTAATGAAATATATTCCCTGCATACCATCTGTTATTTATTATGAAATTTATCTAATAATAAGTTTCTTGAGTTCATTTCTCAAGTTCGTTTGTAAGATCTCTTTCAAGCTGTACAAAGTTCATACTACCTCAACAGACATCTGCAAAATTCTCCAAGATCAATGTACCAATTTGGATAAAATTGAAATTATTTAGTTATTATAGACCACCAAGAATATTATAGACTACTTAAATTCTGAATAAATTCATTAGATCATTTTGAACTTATGCAATAGGCATTTTGTCACTTTTTCACATAGATTTGAAACAAGAGAGAATAATGACACCAAGCTACCAAAACATCTAGGAGTCTGTATATGATTAATAACTCATTCCAGAACTGACCACCTCTTATGTGGTCCTTTTGTACGTCTTATTTAAAAATATTGAATATTTATAAAGTAATAGTTCATTTTAACATAATAATAGATATTAGTATTTAATAATATATAACTGATCAATCAGGTATCATGTGACATAAAGTTCAGACATACAATGATAATATGGCACTTAGTTTAGTGCTAGAAATACAGATTTTCTTACTGTGACGTCATTCTTTTTCATTTCTCTTATAGTATAATAAATTTGCCAAAATTAAAATGTTTCCCAATTGCCATAGAGTCTTCTTCTTTTGCTAAGTGATCTAAAATTGAGATTTTCATTTTCAAAGAAATTGCTTGTCTTCGCTGCTTCTTTTTCTCCATTGGGCCAAATAAAGCTCTTAAATCCAAATTACACTTTATTTGTAATACGGCAATTGCCTGTTACAATGGGAGAAAACATATACTTAAATAATGTAATATATTACATCATATTATTACAATAATATTTTCCTTCTAATTATTTCCTTCTAAATAATATTTTCCTTCTAATTATTTACAAAAGTTTTAACGTAATTATACAATTACGTTAAAACTTTTGTAAATAATTAGAAGGAAAATATTATTGTAATAATACTATGTAATATGTTATATTATTTAAGTTTATGGTTCTCCCATTGTAACAGGCAATTGCCGTATTACAAATAAAGCGTAATTTGGATTGGATTATATGGAAAATAAATCTTAAAATTTCAATACAATTTTATAAATTGACAACTTCCAGTGCCGGATTTCCCACTAGAGACTTGATGCTCATACCTAGAAGTCCCAGGCCTCCTAGACCCGGGACTTCTAGGTAATTGCGTGAATGAAATTAGTAAAAAAAAAATAAAGTAATTTTACCGTTGAAACTGTATATCATCGCTTATAAATAATCCTAATGTTCCAAAAACCGATCTTGAAATATTATGTCAGGTTAACTAATATTTGGGCCACGCTGTATTATAAGAAAATTTTACAAATTTAGGAATTTTTTTTCTATCAAGATGCTTCTCATACCTAAAAAGCATTATCTTAAATTAAATTATATATCTATGTATACATATTTATAACACTGTTTAATACACAAACTTAAAATTAAATAAATAGATTTAATTGTATTGAATTATTTAGTATATTTAATTAATATAGAGACTAATATATTTATAAATTAATGTTGTCTCTATTTTTTTATTAAAAATAAATAAATTAAGAGCTAATATAAATTTATTATTTTATAACAGGAATTAGATCTAATCAGATTATATCTGAATTTTCCAAGAAGATATTTAATTATGAGATTTTTTTAAATCTAATTTCCATCCTAAAAATTTACTGTTTTTACATAAATATCTTTACATTATTACCAGAATTCACGAGGTTGTAAGCAAATTTATATAAAAATGATTTTTAAATTGGCATAATTGTTAATTTACTATAGAGTTTATGTTTTTTAAACGATGTTCTATACCCTAAAATTAATACAACGTCGTAACTATCGTAAATTAACCCAATGTAAACATACAAATAACTTACTTATTAATTTTCCAAAATAAATAAATAAGTTATAATATTTATTTTTAATTTCAATAGGTTTATATTATGAAGATTAGGATGTAAAAAGAGATGAAGGGAGTAACTTCTCTCGTGAGAAACCTCTGATACTGCATCTGGAAAAATGTTATAAGAGAAAAAATTCGGTAAACGATGTCGTTTATCTGCTTTACAATCCAATGTTCTTCCCTAGAGAATCTGATTCAATCTTTGGTTATAGTTTTTTCTAGGTTATATATCTGCGCTTACAGACAGACACTCCGTTTAGGATTCAATAGGTGAAAGGATGTTAAGATTTTCTTTAGCACGTTAAAAAAAATATTGCTGAACTAAATAGCATTTAATTCCGCTAATAGAACAGTATAAAATATATATATATATATTTTAAATCGAACTAAAACACCTATAAAATTTAAAATTCAATTATAAAATAACTTATTTATATCAGTACCTTTCAAGTCTGTAAGATGCAATGATGATACATAAATTTTAATCTAATTTTTAAATATAAAATAAATTAATATTTAAGCTTATAAATTTGATTAAAATGAAGTAAATATCTTAAATAATTTTAATCTAATTTATAGCCGCATAGATAAATTAAATTACAGTTATATGTTACAGCATTTTCTGCTTGCCTCATCAATGATCACACTGATCTTCTATTAGACCTTATATTTATTTAGTTGCTCTTCAACCTCTCAACATTCACTGAGTGGAAAAAGTAACAAAAACAAAAAGGAAATAAACTTTATACAGGAAGAAAATAAATATAAAAAAAAGGAATCGATCGACTGAATTTTTGATTTAGATATTATATAAATTAATCTACAAAACTCATTCAAAAATAATCTATAAATAATAAATTAACGATTAAAATTTAAATATATATTATAAAAATAATAAGAAAAGTAAAGGAAGTTCGATTATTTAATAAGAAATTGNCATGCTATTCTTCATTCTTTTGTTTACCAGAAGCTAATTCATGAAATAAATCAGAAAAACTTAGAGATTCACCTCCATCTTGATCACCTCCAGAAGTAGAAGCTTCAGAATTTAATTCTTATTGAGATTTTGAATTATCAACATCTTCTAAGCTATCAATTGCCCATATTTTTATTTCCTTTACCATATCCTCTTTTTGAAATTTCATTTTTAATCTAATAAAAATGACAAGCATAAAGACTTGTTTTCTATATATGCTGCAAATCTTTTTTTTTTATTAAATTTTCTAGTTCTTCTGATTGTGGTATTAATGCCACTAAAGGAAGTACTGATCTTTGATTTTGATAAGAATAATTTCAGTCTCTATTGTGGGAATTATTGAAGATGAAGTGGCTTCTCGTTTGCTGGCTTTCCATAGTAATTTCTTTGAATGGTTTCACAAGTAGAACAATTTTTTCAATGAGAGACCACTGATATGGGCTCAACGTAGGAATTTTATTATTTGTAGCATATGTGACAAGGGCCTTTTGCTGTTCCAACATGTAGTATGTAGAATTCCAGCAAGTAGGAACATCTTGAATTAATTTGTGTTTCTACAAACCTAACTTTTCTTGCAAATCTTCCAATTTGATGACAGCTACAGCAGAATGATTAACATGTGTGACAATATTTCTATCAACTGTGATTATAGTTTTCACATCTTGTTCAGAAAATATGTATTCGTTTAGTGTCAGCTGCAGCGTATATATAAAGCATGATAATGCTTCTAAGTTGCAATTCCTAATTCAAGCTACCAGATTTGCTGCAGAAGCTCTTAGTACTAAAAATATCTTATCACTTGTCAACTTATATTGTTCAAGAACAATTTTTAACTGTTCACTGATTCGTGTAGCTGTGTAGGAACCTTCAAAGGAAACAATTTGCAAAACAGCTCTTTCCTGCTGAAAATCATCATTCAACCAGTGGGATGTTACACTTAAAAAAGGAGAATTGTTTGTACTTGCTTTCCAAATATCAGCGGTTAAAGAAATATATTTTTGTTTCTGAAACACTTCAGCTTTTTAAACAATGTCGAAGTTTCCATGCATCAACAATTAAGTGTTGAGATTTATTTTAGAAACAAAGGAAGAGATTGTTGATTTTGCAAGGATATTCGATCGTCTCTTGTTTACCTGACCTGAGGGAGATGGAAACACCAGGTGGAGAAAAATAGGTTTTTTTCCACATTATAATTAACCGTATAATTAACTCCAGGATTTCACACTATTAATGCAATAAATTATTAACACTAATTGGCCGATTAATATGTATCGGCCGATAATGCATGGCCGATTGATCAGTAATTGGCCATTTTGCTTATTGGTGCATCCTTAAATAATAATGATAATTTGAAGTATTATTTGTTTTATTGTAATGAATGTAACATAATTGGTCAAGTTGAAATTTTAAATCCACTGTCTCAGAATTCGAATACTACAAAAAAACTAATAATAATGGCCAGCCTGCCTTATAAGGCAATGGCAATTCTTAATCTAACAAAAATGGGGCCCCATTGGACTTCAATACACCGTAGGATATGAAAAACCTAGATCCGCCCCTGAATGCAACCTTAACTTTTTCAAATAATAAATTTTTATCACACATAAACAAAAAACTACTGACAGAAATATATGTACATGTAAAAGAATTACTTATTCTATTTACAATCAAAAATAATAGAGTTGCAAAAATATAAGGCCAGTTACATTTTTGAGCAATTTATCAAAAGAAAACTCACTATCACCTATAATTTGATAACTATAAAGAGATGGCAGCACTCCATTATTGCAAATAAAAACATAATTAAATTTATATCATTATTAATTGTTGTGATACCTCTAACTATTGTTAAAATTACTTAAGACCTAAACTGCCTTTGATTGTGGCAAATCAGAGCACTACATCAAGCTGGAAGTTCTGCTAGAGCTATTGCAAAGTGACTGAAAAGATCTTGTTGTGTTGTATCAGTCATATTAAACTTAATGTGTAATGTGGAAAGAAAAAACAAATAGGATGGCCTTCCAAGTTGACAAGAAATCAAAAATCAGCAATTACGCAGGAAATATCAACAGCAGGATCATAATTAAGTGAAATGGCAGAAAGGCCTGATCTTAATATTCCAAATCCACACTTTTCCAGATGGTGAAATCAGCCAAACTCCTACTGTATAAAAATAGAAAAGCAGCACCATATCTAAAACACTATCAAAACAAAACAGACTGATATGGGCCAAAGATAACATGTCACACACTTCAAAATGATTATTTGGACTGATAAAAACAAAAAAAGTTCAATTTGAATGATCCCAACAGTTGACAATTTTATTGATACAATATTAGGAAAAGGGAGATTTTATTTACCTAGTGTCACCAAAAAGGGNCTTTTTCAAATAATAAATTTTTATCACACATAAACAAAAAACTACTGACAGAAATATATGTACATGTAAAAGAATTACTTATTCTATTTACAATCAAAAATAATAGAGTTGCAAAAATATAAGGCCAGTTACATTTTTGAGCAATTTATCAAAAGAAAACTCACTATCACCTATAATTTGATAACTATAAAGAGATGGCAGCACTCCATTATTGCAAATAAAAACATAATTAAATTTATATCATTATTAATTGTTGTGATACCTCTAACTATTGTTAAAATTACTTAAGACCTAAACTGCCTTTGATTGTGGCAAATCAGAGCACTACATCAAGCTGGAAGTTCTGCTAGAGCTATTGCAAAGTGACTGAAAAGATCTTGTTGTGTTGTATCAGTCATATTAAACTTAATGTGTAATGTGGAAAGAAAAAACAAATAGGATGGCCTTCCAAGTTGACAAGAAATCAAAAATCAGCAATTACGCAGGAAATATCAACAGCAGGATCATAATTAAGTGAAATGGCAGAAAGGCCTGATCTTAATATTCCAAATCCACACTTTTCCAGATGGTGAAATCAGCCAAACTCCTACTGTATAAAAATAGAAAAGCAGCACCATATCTAAAACACTATCAAAACAAAACAGACTGATATGGGCCAAAGATAACATGTCACACACTTCAAAATGATTATTTGGACTGATAAAAACAAAAAAAGTTCAATTTGAATGATCCCAACAGTTGACAATTTTATTGATACAATATTAGGAAAAGGGAGATTTTATTTACCTAGTGTCACCAAAAAGGGAGATCAGTTATGATCTGAGAATGCTTTGTATGGTCTAGAAAAATTAATTTAACATTCATAAATGATTGAAAAAAGGCAATTGAGTATCAAAACCTTAAAAATGTATATGTTCTGCCAGTTGGAGACAAAGTTTGTAGTCCATTCTGGCAATTGCAACAAGATAATGCAGCAATTTAAAATGCAAACTTTACTTATCATTGGTTACTGAATAATGGCATTTAGGTCATGAATTGGCCTCTCTATTCCCTTAAAGTCATTTTATCTACATCAATTTGGCTCAACTTTAAAACATCTTTGAGCAGTATAAGTGAAGGAACAAAGTACAGGCACAAAGTAGAGCTCGAAGTGTTATTCTGTGCCAACATTTATTTTTCCTATGTCGACCTTCGTTCGTCCAAAATTTCCCGTAGCATAGTCTGTAATGAACACTTTATTCACACATTAATCAGTATTCTTTCAGTATTCTTATGCCACAAACTTCAAGTTTCCTTTATTTAGATGTTTTCACTGAGCTTTACCTTTCAACCCGGTTCCACCAAATTTTTTATGGGATCATTATCAACAAAAATGCAACTTATACTGACAATTGATGTTTTGTTTATGAACTTCAATCTCCAATTGCCTTACTAACTTTGTCATTAAGTATTCAGAATGTCTACATTGCACTAAATATAACCAGGGATGAAAGAGATCAAAAAGAATCAGAAGGCAGACTATTTAAATACTAAAAAAAGCAAAAATACAACAGACAAGACAAAACTGCCACGCCCACCACAGCTTACTGTTAACAGAAAATGGCCCGAAAACACGTAAACTGCACAAGGTAAGTGCACGAAACTGACTTAATAACTAACAACAAACAGCTTATAGAGAATAAATAAAGTAGAAAATGTCCAATTATCTGAACAATGCTCTAATTTAGCACCTTTCTGTGCTATCCCAGAACACAGAAAATGACAAAACAGTACGAAATTAGTTACAAGCAAGATAAAAAGGCCAAAAACACTAAAAGAATGACGAAATAATACTTACAGATCGCAGACACAGGGAGCATGTGTGACGTAAACACAAACTTTTCCAACGCGATTGTCGACTTTTGGCTAAAAATGCATTTAAACTTGAAATATTTATAAATATTTAAACTCCGTTACCAACGCTGAATTAAATATCATATTGCCTGTTCGAAACGTCAAACGAAAACATTACTCGAACTTTCATCCAAGTCGTGCACAAAACGCTAAGACCGACGCCATATTGAACGACTTAGCGCGCCCCCTATGATTATAAATCGCAATCGAAAATAATTTTTAAAATTTTTTAACTTTTTTTTTTTCCTTTAAATTTAAAAGTTATTAATTCTCGTTAAATAAATTTATGAGTGAATATCAGTTTGATTTGGGATATTATTACTAACTTTATTGTTTTCTATGTAAGTGTCTTTTCGAATTATTTTCGAATGGTAGCCGGCATTCTAATTTTTTCGTTTTTTTTCCTTTCCTGAGTACAGAGGAGTGTATTGCTATTCGTTTATACTCCGAAGGAAAGAAGAGACAGGAGATAGATTGCAAGGCGACGGAAAAGCTGGCCTTATAGAAGACGGCCTGAAAGTACACGAAGGGAGATAGAATGTCTTCCGGTGGGACTTTTATGGGAAGCTGGCCCTTATTTCTCATTCTCATAGTGCCTTATCAGGATTTTCCCGACCTCGGCCACACCCGGCGCAGATTAGTAAGCAGTTAGTAACTACGCCAAGGCGTTACTAGGGAAAGTTAGTACCCAGAGTGGTTTCCCGTTGCCTTCTCTGGGGCGGCCCCTATTTAGGCGTACCTAAATAGGGGCCAGCTTCCCATACCTAATACAAAATACAGGTACCTAATACTATATAACAGCAGGAAAAGTATAAATTTAAATATCAAACAGGAGATTCTATTTTATAATTTGCTCTTTTTGTTTTTGTTTTTTGCTTTGTTTTTATTTTTTGTCACAGAACAGTTCAAGGATTATTACGGTCATTGTTTTCGCTTTTGCCCATCCGGATAACAAAAAATGTAAATTTACGCAAGTTCTATTCAAGATAAAATAATTCAATATTCATCAAATAGTTATAAATAACAGATTCAATTCAATTAAAGAAGAAAGTTCAGAAAATCTTAAAGAAAAAAATTCATAGAAGCAGGATTTTGGAGCGTTTAAACATCATTTATTTAATTGAAAATGAATTTCGTACAGAAATATTTATGAATTTCTCCACACAATAACTAATTTAATTTAATTCCAATTTTATAACTTTATTTTTAAATCTAAGTTTAAGTAAAACAATGAAAATACAACGAGATAAAGTAATTTTTAAAGATATTTTAAAGGGCTACATAACAAATAATTTCTTTGATTGTAATTGTTATAAACGAAATGACTGACATAAAAATAATCAGTAAAGTGTTTATTAAACATTTCAACGTGTTGCTCGTTATTTTATAATATATTTACTGTATTAACTTAGACGTTATTTAAAAATATAGCATTTTATTTGTTTCAACGAATTTCACAAGAGAAATTCTACGGTCAAAGATGGCTTCGAACGTGAACACTTCGTGCAAGATTCGTGCAAAATTTTTTATCACAAATATCACATTTCTTAACGCTTGTATCGGTAATTAACTCCACGTGTCTTTTCAAACGATCTTCTGATTTAAATGTCTTTTTGCAAATATTGCATCGATGTTTTCCTCTCGGGGGATGAGCGGTCTTTCGATGAGTTTCAAATTCGACTTTCCTTGTAAATTTCTTTCTGCAAATGTCACAACAGAAATGCATCTCATAATTGTAAGTATTTAGATGACGCTCCAAACTAGGTGCATGTATATAAGTCTCTTTACAAATATTACATTGATAAGGAGATTGCTTCGGATGTATTTTCGTACAAATAAACTTTAAATGGTATTTCAGTTCACTTTCAGTTTCGAATTTTCTTGTACAATTAATGCAAGGATGCGGTTTTTCTGCGTGAATAAGTTGATGCTTTAAGAAATTAGTTTTGTTATCAAACCCCTTTTCACATACCTCACAAACATGACGATAATTATCTTGATTATGATAACTTTCGTGACGCTTTAACTGGTGTTTACTTCGAAATCCTCTGTTACACGTCTCGCAAAGAAACGGTTTTACCTCATAATGACTTTTCTGATGAAGAGCTAACTGGTATTTAGTTTTAAATTCCTTATTACAAACGTTACACTTTTCAATGTGATTTTTCAAATGAGCTTTCAACATATTTTCGGTTCTGAATGGCGCAGTACAATATTTGCATACGAGCATACCTTCGTGTTGAACATAGCGATGAGTTACCAAATATTTTTTAAGTTTAAAACCTGTTTTACATATGTCACAAACGTACTTATTTCTGTCGATATGATAGTATTGATGCCGTTTCAAATAGTGTTTAATTTTAAACTTTTTGTTACATATATCACAAGAATACTTGTATTCGTTTGTGTGTAGATCGACATGGTTTTTAAAATCAGAATTGCGTTTAAAACGTTTCTTACATACTTCACAAGAATAATTAAACTCGTTGCTATGAATGACTTTATGATGTGCCAAAGAGCGTTTTGTTTTAAAACGCTTGTTACATAAGTCACAGGAATAGTTACGTCGTTCACTGTGAATTTCGTAATGTCTTTTCAAACAGTTTTTTGTTTTATAATACTTATTACAAATATCGCATTTGAAAGGTCGGTTTTTATTATGCGCCTCTTCGTGAGTTCTCAAACGACATTCGAATTTAAACTCTTTGTTACATATCTTACAACGATGAGGTATGTGTTTTCTCATATGTCTCTCTAAACGATCCTTCGACCAAGCGCGTTGATTGCAAATATCACATTGAAGCCGTTTTCGTCCAGTATTAGATTTTTTACGTTTTTTTGGAGACGACTTCGTACGAACTTTTCTATTATCGATTTCGATTTGGTTTTCAGTGTTGTGTTCTCTCACGTGCCTTCGTAAAAGAAATTGCCACGAAAACTTCTGATTGCAAGTTGAGCAGCGGAATGGTTTCTTTCCAACATGAAATAACAAATGCGCTTTTAATATTCCCTTATTAATAAATGTCTGTTTACAGAAATCACAGGTGAATTTTTGTTTAGAACGAGATGCAAGCATAATCCTGAAGTATTTCCTTTTAATCTTTTCTTTCACTTGATTGCATTTTCTAACGGAAGGAACGTATTTCGTTTTCTTGATATTATTCTTATAACGCTTCTCTGTATTTGAATTGTGCGGATTATCGTATTGCTTTGTCTGTTCTTCTTGCTTAACTGAGAATTTAAAAAATAACACAATAAAGTACCATTATAGTTCAAAAAACATAACAGTTTAAATATTTAAAATTTAAACTATAGGTTTTTACTTTATAAACACTCGCTATTTTTAAAAATAAAACCTTCAAAAAGACCACAAAAGTGGTTATCAGCAATGGAAAGAGCTATTAAGTATATGTAGATTCTTCCTAGATTCGTGTAGTTTGGTGACGTACTCTCTCTGGTGATAAATCTAGGCGAAAAAAAACGACAAAATTCCCATTGCTTAAGTCCAGAACGATCCAATTAATTTATTCAAAATTTAAAAGATGCACAATACTGATGGTGGACCTTAATCTCTTAACTATTAGAAGTATTTAATTGAGGAAAATCTGCAAGTTATCAGGTGATTGTGAAATGAATAATAGAATTATCATAAAATCTTTTTTAGTATATTATTACTGAATTAATTTATTTCAAATATTAAAGACAGGGATCAGGAAGTGCCTGTCGAAGCATTTATGGTGGATTTGTTCAATGGATTAAAGGAACTGAGGAAGATGGATCTGACTCCATTGCAAGACAAATTGCTTCAAATGATCACTGGCCTGAATTAAGGATACTTGTTTTAGTAGTAAGTATCTATATCTGATTGTCAATGTTATTAGTAATATTTTTATATTTCATAGAATTGTAAGTCCACTAATTCAATTTAAATGGTCTTAATTTCCAAAAAATATAAATGTTTTTTAATATGTTCAAATGTTATCAACATATAAAAAATGCCATTCTTGGGAACTGTTTTCAGTTCTGTCTCCAGGAGTTTGTATATGTCAAAAACATTTGACAAGCCTATTAAAAAAGTTTACATTCTTTTTTAACATTAACACCATTTAAATCAAATTTTGAGGACCTATTAGAATATACTGGCTTTACATGCTGTCATAATTCTTTCAGATACTATTATTTCTCTTCATTAAAATTAATTAGCATTAATGATAAAACTATTTATTGAAACAGTTTATAAATTTAATGATATTTTATGTATGTTTAAGAGATATAGAATATAATTATGATTTTTTNTATAAACTCTAATTTAAAAAAAAAAAAAGATGGCTTTAAAAATAAAATTGTAACATCTTACTTACTTTGGATATTCAATTCATTCCTGTGAAAGTTTTCGTCCAGAGTGAAGAATTCATTCTTGACAGGCTAAACAATACAAAAATGTATTATACACGAAAACTACTATAAATTAGTAAACTATAAATCTGTTCTTTTGCGATTTCAGATATATTAAAACTGTAAAAATTACTTAAGCTTTTCGAAAAATTAACATAATTATGTACGCTTTCTCTTTCAATAATCCAGACAAACTACTATACAAATTTTACTTATGTGTAAAACGTTTAGAAATTTGTTTCACTTACCTTTAAATCTTCGTATTCATCTGGGAGATAAACTCCATTACAATCTTCAGATTTTACTTTAAAATTCAATCTTTTCAAAACAACTTTACATTCTGATTTTATATCGTATTTAGTATCGCAATTCTCCTCTTTTATTTTCTCTTTCTTACAATCTGTATTGAAATTTAACAGTGAATTAATCAGTGACTAATTTAACTTATTTTAAAAATTTTATAAAATGTGTTACATTGGTCACTTGCTGTGATAAACCCTTACCTAAAATAATCTCTGTAGTTATATAAATCAAATACTAATAATATAATACAATATAAGAGTTTGAAGTAGGAAATAAGGTGAAATGGAACACTGTCAACCAGCAATCTGTTTTTATGCACATGTGAAATTATTACAATTTTAAATGAAGAAAGCTACACAAATAAGTCTTTTTAAATCTATTTTATTCCAGTCAAAAATGGATAGAAGGGGACTTATAATATGTCGTCTGCTCTCAGTCCGTCAAGATAAAATACTAAAATTTTCATCAAAAAGGCACGACGATACACCATTAAAAATAGTTCACACACGTAAGCCTTGTATAGAATCAGGCTCCAATAAACATTAAAACAGAGCTAAATGTCTCGATAATGGCAAACAAGTGTAATACAGTAGTCTTATTTATAAATTTTAGAGTCCTCTTACAAAAATAGACTGATTAAAGGGAATTTACACAACTTCACTAAATAAAAATAATTCTAATAAATGAAATTTTTCACATAATTGTTGATGCATTTGGTTGTTTTATATACCCCCTACCATCATTTATACTACTATCCCACACAATAGGGCCAATATCTTTAATATATAGGGGAGATCGGGGCAACTTCGGCATGCGGGGCAAGTTTGTCAAGCGCTTTTTTTAAAAAACAAATTAAAAGGAGACTTTGGTTATAGGTTAGGCAGTTGAGTTTTATTGGTGGCTTGTTGAGTGTAGTGTTTTTATTGTTCTCCAACAAGCGTAGTTGAATTATCAAGCAAATTTTCATTTTCGTTCAATTCCATATAATATTTTTTTTCCATTTATATTGAATTGGCAGGTTTTGTTATAATTCCATGATAACGAAAGTTACTTTTCCTGTTAGAAGGATGTAACTTCAACTTATTCACGTGGCCAGATCGTGGCTTGGCATTCTGTTCTCAGGGTTGTACTTAATGTTTCGAAATCATGACTAGCGGGGTAAGATCGGCAACATAAAGCCACATTAGAAGCAAAGGATAAAAATCAAACAGATGATAAATGAAAACATGTTTGCATTTGTTATTCATGTATATATGTCTTTGAACTTGCATTTCGTTGTAATAATATTAAATGGGTGTTGGATTTGTATTTCTTTGTTTTAATAGTGAATTCCAACTTATACATTGTTAATAACATAATTTTATATACGTGCCTATCTTGCCCCATTACTGTTGCCCCTATACCAGGGGCAACTTTAATAAAAATAATTAAAATAATTACAACTTTACAAAAAGAGAGAAGTTGCCGATCTTGCCCCTATACCCGGGGCAACTTCGTCAATTTCTCTCTTCTTGTAAAGTTGTAATTATTTTAATTATTTTTATTTCCAAACTGATTTTAACCAGTTCTATAGTAAGGTAACATTCCAATAGACAATATGCAAAGCTTTTTTTTCAGTTTACAGCAGTATTTATTACACAAAATTTAAGTAAAGCTTAACATGCCGATCTTGCCCCGATCTCCCCTAATAATTATTCTATAACTGTAACTATAAATTTATTTATATTTATGTTTTAACTATTCTCCTAATCACTAGAAACATATTTTTATAGCATTAAATGTATGGAACCTCTTACCTATTTCACTGTTATAACCGTAATGACTCCACATATCGGAACTGTTTGAAATTGATTTTTTATAAATATTTATCTGAAATAATAAAAATCTTGTTTTAAATTATTAGACGAATTGATCTTCATAGAAAAATAAATAAAAAATAATTAAAAAGTTATTTTAAAAAACTTTCTATATTTTTAAATATTATAAAATAGCAAACAGCTTAATTTTGAGTGTATAATTTTGAATGGGTTTTATAAAGAAAAAAAAACAAAAGAAAAAAGAACAAGAGTACAAAAAACAGGCGAAATATCACCTAAGACAGTACTTGGTTTAAAACACAGGACTTAACAGATTTCTCCGGTTTTTTTTTTTATCTTGCAATGCTTTTTATATCATACTGTTGGCATTTTCTGTAGTGTTTGTGAAATTCAAATTATCAGCAGCCAGGAAAGCTTCATTGCGTATACATTGAGAGTAAATGTGTAAATCTCACTCCTATCCTTTTCTAGATAAGACATACTTTTTGTTGAACAGTTCAGCCATGTCAAAAGATGTCATCACTTCAGACTTACGGGTCATCATGAAAGTATAACATTCAAGATCCAAAGCAGTCTAATGTTAAAAATGAAATAAAATGGAGGAGAGCTCGACCCCTCCCATCCATTTAATTTCATTAAATTTTATACAGTTTATGCATTTTATTATATTCATTTTAAAAATTTCTTTTATGTTTCCTTTTTACTTATGGTATCTATAATTCGTAAATTGATGAAGATTTTAAGTGGGGGTTGGGTACAAAAGTTGTTGAAGAAGAGAGAAAGAGTGAAAATTTCAAAAGAAATGTGGACTTGATTTATGGTTAATCTCGAGAACGGAGTTAGAAGAAATACGAGACAAAACATAGAAACCATTATTAACAGGAGGCCTCGATTAACTATATACAAACGAAGGAAACTGAAAGTACATTATTTCAGTTCAAATGTTTTTCCCTGAAAGCAGTTAATATATGACCGGAACGACTCTATTAATAAAAGAAAAGTGTGATGTACAAGGGCAAAACACTACCAATTTGGGTTGGAGAGCATATAATTTAAATTAATTAAGTTAAAAATATGATTAAAACTTGCAGCCCGGCATTGTTACGATGTCACAACAAATAAGTGCACATGCCATATACAACGCCAGTCACTCCACTTGTCAATGGCGACCATTACACACAGAACTATAAACTTATGACGACGTTTGCTAGCTGACGACGTCATCACACATTGACAATTGCATTCTGTTTCCAGATAATTGAATAAGGGGAATTACCCACTGAGTTCCATTACCCTACTATATAAAATATGTTATTCTATTTTCTATTTTATATTTTAACAGTTTAATTGTATTTGTTGTCCTTAATTTAATTAAAACAAAACTGATTTTTATAGATCAGTGTTTCTCAACGGGGGTGATATCACTCTCATGAGGGAGTTTTTCCATGTTGAAGGGGCGATTAGTAACAATTTATATTTTGGGGGCGAAAAACAATTTTCTGGGCGATATAGTAAAACATTATATTAAGAATAATTAGATGCTTTATACGTTATATTGTACATTAATTAAACAAAGTCTATTCAATGCAGTACGAATTTGGCGTTAGCCTTGGCCCTCGGCATCGAAATTTTGAAGTGAAGGGGGCGATACTACGTAACGGTTTTATTGAAGGGGACGATACTACGTTGAGAAGGGCGACGATTCGTTAGAGGTTGATAACACTGGTATAGAACAATACTTTTTACTCACCTCAACATCGTCATCGTCTCGATATTCTAAAGGCTCTGATTTAATTATTTTACAAAATTGCTCGTAATTCGTCTTAAGTTGTTCCTTTTCATTCTTTAATACAGGTTCAAATGTAACATCCGAATGTTCTAATTCTGGCTCCTCTTTTATCTTCATTTTTGTAATTTACAATATTGTCGTTTGTCAGCAATCTCCATTCAATCAAAGAGATATTTTAAAATCATCGAGTTATATTTAAATTAATAAATAAATATGTAAAATTGATATAATTCGAATCACTTACCTTTTGTAGTTGAATAGTGTCTCATTAATCAATATAAATTAATAAATATCCACGATAATTCCCTCAAAATATAGAGCAAGTAACAAAGAAAGACAAGTAAACACACTGCTATTGTTAGTGGTGCACACCTCAAGGTTATGGTAGAAAGTCGTGGGGTGCACGTCATGTGACAGTTTGTAAGTACAAAACAACGTGTTATGTGGTAAACAACTTAAAACAAGTATTGTTCTTAAAACCTACCTGTGAATGTTTTTGATTTCATCTTTAATAGAATGCCAGACATTCAAAACTCCGATATAAATATAAAATTATGAGCGATTCTACTTTACACTCCGGTTTCTGTTTTATTTTCTGTTTGTAAAGAAGTCAAGGGTTAATTTAAGTCATTGCTTCTGCTTCCCTTCCTTCCGGATAACAAGTTTAAATTTATTTTATATCTGTGGACAACAGATCTTCAGGCGTATTCACAGAATGCTAAAGTGGCAATATGCAGTTAGAGAGACAAAAGAAGATTAAAATGGCGCTTTGGATTAGTTGCGACAGGTAATGAAAGGACACACTGTGATACTTTCACAACTTACCACGTTGATCTTACTTTTAACGTATTATCTTCTTCAGAGAAGGTACAGTACATACAAGAGGAAAACAGAAATAACGATATAAGGCTCACAAGATTACGTAAAAAAGATTAAAGTAGTAGTAAGAAAGATTTATTTTACGGGATTCTTCAATGTATGTAGTATGTCAATACTTTAGTGTGTCACAAAAGTCTCCTATCCTAGAGCTATTATTTTCATATAAACTGTACCAACCCTTATTACGTGTGCCTTAATTGCCAATATAAAACGTGTGAAGTGAGTAAAAATGTTTATGTTACTACATATTTTGTAATTATAGATCTTACACAGTTTAATAAACGGATTTGTAAAGACAATTCTTTTGAATTCTTAAATATTTTTGTAATAAGTGTTATGTCAATAAATAATGGAAACTGATTTTATTATTCCTTATTACAAACATTACATCTTTTAATATGAATTTTCGAATGCGCTTTCATAATATTTTCCGTTTTGAATGGTTTATTACAATATTTGCATACAAACATCTTTTCATGTTCAATCAAGCGATGTCTGACAAATGCTGGTTTATAATTAAAACCTGCGTTACATATTTCACATACATACATACTTCTATCGCTGTGAATAATCTTATGGTATCTCAAAGAGGCTTTCGTTTTAAAATGTTTGTTACAAATATCACAAGAATATTTGTATTCATCGCTGTGTATAACACTATGCAATTTTAAAGTCAGTTTTGATTTAAATGTTTTCTTACATATGTCACATTGATTAAAGTCATCGTCATGAACAACCCTTTTATGATGACTCACATAGTGTTTAGTCTTAAAACGTCTCTTACATATCTCACAAGAATAGTTATATTGTTCAGTATGAAGTTCATAATGAACTTTTAAATGTGTTTTCGTTTTATAACACTTATTACAAATATCGCATTTGAAAGGACGGTTTTCACTATGAGTTATTTCGTGACGTCTCAAACGAGATTCGTATTTAAATTCTTTCTTACATATCTTACACCGAGGACGTATGTGTTTTCTTTTGTTTGTCTGTAAACGGTACTTTGATCGAAGGCGTTTATCAGAAATATCAGATTGACAGATTTTCCCCTGAATATTAGATCCTTTACAATATTTTGAAGATGATTGCACACCAACTTGATTTCCATTCTTGTGTTCTTTCATGTGTCTTCGTAAAAGAAATTGCCACGAAAACTTCTCATTGCAGGTTGAACAACTAAATGGTTTCTTTCCAACATGAAAAAACAGATGCGCTTCTAATATTTCCTTATTTATAAATGTCTGTTTACACAAGTCACACGTGAATTTTTGTTTAGAATCAGATGCAAGCATAACCCTGAAGTATTTCCTTTTAATCTTTTTTTGCACTTGATTGCATTTTCTAACGGAAGGAATGTATTTCGTTTTCTTGATATTATTCTTATAACGCTTCTCTCTATTTGAATTCTCTTGAATATCATCTTCTTTACTTTGTTTTTCATCCTTAACTGAAAATTTTAAAAAGTTACATAATGAAGCGCCCATTATATTTTAAAAATTCAAGTTTAAGTAATATCAAAATGTAATCACTTAAGATAACTTGTTACCAATTTTATAAGTACACAATACAAATGTAAGCTTTTCTTGTAATTTTTATAATTAATCTAAAAAATTATTTATTTTTTTATTTCTTCACTCGATTGGTTAGCAAATAAACGTGGCGTAATCGCCTGCTTTTATAGAGACAATGTTCTAGAAAACAATACAATAATGTGTACAACAATAAACTATTTTCTTGATCAAAATGAAGAGGAGCGTAACCCGAAATGCATTTATATTGAGAACAATAAAAATGACTTTCCTTTACAAAATAGTTTCCCTTGTATAATAGATCTGTTAACAAAATAATATCTAGTTATCACAGAACTGCAGAAAACTTTAGATTAAACAATATGCAACAACAATAAGAGCATTTAAGAAATAAACTTGTGATGTGTTACTTACTTTGTACGTTTGTTTCATTCCAGTTAATAATTTCGTCGGGAGTGAAAAACTCGTTCTTGACAGGCTAAACAATTTATAAACAAAACATATATTGTTTAGGAAAATCGTTATGAGTTAGTAAATCATATATCTGTTATTTTGTAATTCTATATATAACTAGCAGACCGTGCCACGCGTTGTTGTGGCTCAAAATGTATCTATTATAAATGTATTACACTTCCCTCGTGGGGGAAAAATTTCTTCTTAGTGTACATTCTCTNAATATATAATAATTAAACATTGTTGACTTTCGGAACTCCTCTTAAAGATTTTTTTTGGTGAAAATATTTTATTATAAAAGACTGGTTTGGGGTTCCCCGTTAGTGGAGGCCCCAGGCAGTTGCCTTTTTTGCTAATAGAATAACGCGCCACTGGATCTAATATCATTTCTAGTGACGTAACAGGTTACATTTATGTTATTTGAGGCTTAATTTTACTTTGTCAATTATCAGGAAAGAAGAGAAGCGAAAATAATGACTTAAAATAACCTTTAAATATAATAGTAGGAAAAATGAATTTCGTTTTTATTGATAAATTGTGATGCAGTTCACAGACGTTTTTTAAATTTTTAATGCCTACAAGAAGTTGTTCTTTTTAATTAAACTCTATTCTCGGTGTAAGCACTAAAGAACCTTTCTACAACCCATAATGGATTTAGCCAGGCTCAATATGATGCTGCCGTTTGGTGAGGGAAGAAGTCCGAATATCTTAACAGATCACCCTAAATAAAGTGATGTTATTAATAATGATTATTGGTTTATACTTTACCTTCGGAATGCTCCTGATTGATTTGTAATGTTAGAAAAGGCTAAGAAGAAGATTGCTAAACAAATCATTTCTCAAAAATTACAACTCGATAACAGGCATATTATTTTGCTCTGTAATTAAGATAATATATTCTGTATACAGATGCACTTTGGTTTACAGAATGTGCGTATTTTGTTATCTTTCTGAAATAAATACAGAGAAAACATTTAGATAACTTTATAATACTGATTATTTTCAAATATTCTTTGTACAATACGTTTTTTGAGAATACAAAGCCATTGAAATTGAGAAATCTGATGGTTGTAGAGCCGAGCAATTAAGTTCATCATCAGTTCTGGTGACACAAAAATAATACCAAATACCTGTAAAGACGGTATTATTTTCAGCTGTATATTGAATCATTAGATTTGTAGGTTACAAAGCCACGTTTCTTTCCTTCTCGACTCTTCCATAAAGTAGTAGTTTTATCTTTGAAACATTTCTTTTCTCCTTCCATTCGTGACACAAATTTATATCTAAAAAAATTAAAAAGTTGAGATAACTTGAAATAATTATGTCATTATTAAAAGTAAAAATTTTCCATAGATTTTACGAAGCCATTTTATTAATTTCAAAATCTTTTTGTTGACAATGTTTCGCTACTGCTGAGTTAGAGTGATTATATTTTATTTATTTAATGTGTTCAGAAAATATTGTAAATTCTAAGATATAAAAATACTGGATCAATTTTTATCTATAGAATAGAAATCTTAAAATACGACCTCTAACACTACAGCATTTGTTACAAATTAATCCCAAAATCAATACAAAATTTTGTTACGATGAATTTCTCCAATATTTTAACAGCTAATAACTAATAAACAGAAAGCTTTAACAAGCTGAAATTTAATAAAATAGTTCATTTGAAAGCTAAAATTTGCAAGTGGATTAACCATATGTTTGTTAATCCACTGTTCAAACAGTTTTTCTGCTCGTTTAATTGTAATCTCATCTATCTCCGAAGAATTTTGAAAAATTGAATGTGCAAGAATTTACCTTTTTTTTTTAGAACCATGTATTTCCAAATTGGCACTTGAAGTTCTCTTGTATATTAAAATTAAACCATTGAAAAAAACATATTTAAGTCTATCAGAAAGATTTTTCACTTTCTCTTTTTATTTAAGCTAAAAAAGTTACTTTAAATTATGTGATAAAGTTTGTTCAACATGCGAAAATACTTGCATTGGCCCATGGTGGCTATATCACTACCAACTTGACCATCGCCAAAAGTCAATGCCCGATAGACAGGCAGGACTAGCTACGGGTTTACTTTATCACAGGTTCCCAAGCCTTATAGTAATTCTAAACCACGATTTTTCAAACGTTATTGTTTAAATTCTTTAAACTTGATGTTGTTCGATGTTATTGTAGCATCATGTGGCAGTTTATAGTACCAACTCATTGCCGTTGCTTAAGGAACTGGAATATTGGCAAAATATTTCTGTTCTGGAATCTAGTAACTGTCTCTTCTAGCGGGACAATAGAACAACCGAGCAGTATTTTCACCAAGATGCATGCAATTGATCAATGCATCATGTTCTTCTATTAAAAATTCAAAAATATTCCGGTTATCATCACAGATTCAAGCAACATACACTCCAGGTTTAAGATTTTCCACTGGTACAGTACATAAAAAAATGTGGATGCTAATTGTAAACACGTTAGCTTTCTTGCATCTGAAACAGCAACATAAAAAGCTTAATTTTTTCAAAACTGCTTCCAAGTGATATAAGTAATTTTTATGGAAATTGATCTGGCGCCTCAACCATGCATTGTACTTTGAAATTTTTACACAGTGTATCAACAGGACTTTATACAAGTCCTGTTGTACAGTACATTGTATAAAAATTTCATTAAAATTATAGATGGACGAGCAGGGTACTCTAGGACAGGTGGCACAGAATGAACCCATTCGAAAATTTTGATAAATCATTACACATAAAACAATGAACAAACAAAAATCCATAAAAAGAACATATCATTTATTTTATTTAAAATTAATTTCATAAACAAATAAGTGCAAAGTTACTCATCATAATAACTAATTCCATTAACTTATACTAAAGAAGAAATTTTCCCGTCAAGTATAACAAAATATTTTTATGAGAAAGAAAATATTGTAATGAACCATTCTTCATTCCCTACTTTCTAATAATAAGTATTCCATCGTTCTTCACAGAGAAATTTCTCCTTGTTATATATGTAATGTATGAAACGATATATTTAATGAATCCAAATAAAATATTCATTATTTAAAAATATACTGTATATTATCTTTAAATTGTTTTCAACACAAGCAAAACATTATTCTACAAGATGACTTCGCACGTGAAATTTTAAATTATAATTTGAACAGAATTTTTTGTCACAAACGTCACATTTCTTAACGCTTGAATCTGTATTCTTCTGCATATGAATTTCTAAACCACGTTTTTGTTTAAACGTTGTTTTGCAAATTTCGCATTGATATTTTCCTTCTGTGGGATGAGTAGACTCTCGATGACTTTGAAATTCCAGTTCTGTTGTAAACTTTCTCTTACAAATGTCACAACAGAAATGTATCTTATCACTAAAAGTACTCAGATGCCTCAAGAAATAGGATTTTAAATTGAAAGTCTGCTTACAGATATTACATTGGTAAGGAAGTTTCTTCCAATCTATGTTCAGACGACAAACTTTGAAATGGCATTTTAGTTTGTTTTCAGTTTCAAAACTTATTTTACAATTAATGCAAGGATAACGTTTTTTTACATGAATCCCTTCGTGCCTTAAGAGATTTTTTTTTACTATAGAAGTGCTTTTTACATACCTCGCAAACAAACGGTTTTATGAAATGACTTTTCTGATGATTAATAAAGCAGCGTTTATTTTTAAATTTCTTATTACAAACATTACATCTTTTAATATGAATTTTCGAATGCGCTTTCATAATATTTTCCGTTTTGAATGGTTTATTACAATATTTGCATACAAACATCTTTTCATGTTCAATCAAGCGATGTCTGACAAATGCTGGTTTATAATTAAAACCTGCGTTACATATTTCACATACATACATACTTCTATCGCTGTGAATAATCTTATGGTATCTCAAAGAGGCTTTCGTTTTAAAATGTTTGTTACAAATATCACAAGAATATTTGTATTCATCGCTGTGTATAACACTATGCAATTTTAAAGTCAGTTTTGATTTAAATGTTTTCTTACATATGTCACATTGATTAAAGTCATCGTCATGAACAACCCTTTTATGATGACTCACATAGTGTTTAGTCTTAAAACGTCTCTTACATATCTCACAAGAATAGTTATATTGTTCAGTATGAAGTTCATAATGAACTTTTAAATGTGTTTTCGTTTTATAACACTTATTACAAATATCGCATTTGAAAGGACGGTTTTCACTATGAGTTATTTCGTGACGTCTCAAACGAGATTCGTATTTAAATTCTTTCTTACATATCTTACACCGAGGACGTATGTGTTTTCTTTTGTTTGTCTGTAAACGGTACTTTGATCGAAGGCGTTTATCAGAAATATCAGATTGACAGATTTTCCCCTGAATATTAGATCCTTTACAATATTTTGAAGATGATTGCACACCAACTTGATTTCCATTCTTGTGTTCTTTCATGTGTCTTCGTAAAAGAAATTGCCACGAAAACTTCTCATTGCAGGTTGAACAACTAAATGGTTTCTTTCCAACATGAAAAAACAGATGCGCTTCTAATATTTCCTTATTTATAAATGTCTGTTTACACAAGTCACACGTGAATTTTTGTTTAGAATCAGATGCAAGCATAACCCTGAAGTATTTCCTTTTAATCTTTTTTTGCACTTGATTGCATTTTCTAACGGAAGGAATGTATTTCGTTTTCTTGATATTATTCTTATAACGCTTCTCTCTATTTGAATTCTCTTGAATATCATCTTCTTTACTTTGTTTTTCATCCTTAACTGAAAATTTTAAAAAGTTACATAATGAAGCGCCCATTATATTTTAAAAATTCAAGTTTAAGTAATATCAAAATGTAATCACTTAAGATAACTTGTTACCAATTTTATAAGTACACAATACAAATGTAAGCTTTTCTTGTAATTTTTATAATTAATCTAAAAAATTATTTATTTTTTTATTTCTTCACTCGATTGGTTAGCAAATAAACGTGGCGTAATCGCCTGCTTTTATAGAGACAATGTTCTAGAAAACAATACAATAATGTGTACAACAATAAACTATTTTCTTGATCAAAATGAAGAGGAGCGTAACCCGAAATGCATTTATATTGAGAACAATAAAAATGACTTTCCTTTACAAAATAGTTTCCCTTGTATAATAGATCTGTTAACAAAATAATATCTAGTTATCACAGAACTGCAGAAAACTTTAGATTAAACAATATGCAACAACAATAAGAGCATTTAAGAAATAAACTTGTGATGTGTTACTTACTTTGTACGTTTGTTTCATTCCAGTTAATAATTTCGTCGGGAGTGAAAAACTCGTTCTTGACAGGCTAAACAATTTATAAACAAAACATATATTGTTTAGGAAAATCGTTATGAGTTAGTAAATCATATATCTGTTATTTTGTAATTCTATATATAACTAGCAGACCGTGCCACGCGTTGTTGTGGCTCAAAATGTATCTATTATAAATGTATTACACTTCCCTCGTGGGGGAAAAATTTCTTCTTAGTGTACATTCTCTTGACGTACCCTATTAAAACGCAATCAAACACGCAAAAACCCGCATCTAAAATAGTATAAATAGAAGCAGAGTTCTTTACCGTAAGCCTTAATTCTAACCATCTCCCTTCAGGGGGGAATTTCGACACGTATATTATATAAAAACATGTGCGTATTCGAATGCAGCGTTGTGTCAAAATTTCAAAGGAATCGGTAGGAACAAAGGAACATTACATTTTTATTTATATAAATAGATAGAAGATGATCCGCTTTAGTTCATTTTCACAGAAAAGCATAATGCCTCACAGAAAAGCAAACTTAGGGCGTCGTACTCGTAGCGCCATCTGTTGGACGTAAAAGCCTTAACC